CTCGGGGTTTTGGGGGGGGACCCGGCGATGGATCCGGAGGCTGCAACGCGGAGTTTTGCGCTTGGAAATCCGCCCGGAGGAGCGGGAGGTACGCGGGTCCCTTCTCCTCCCCCCTTCCCCGCATCCCGGAGAGGCAGGAAGGGAAGGGACAAACCGGGGGGGGCACCGCGGAGAGAGAAGGGGGGGAAGGTTTGGGGTGTGTGTGTGTGTGTAGGGATGGGGGTGCGAAGCGCAGCGGGGAGCGCAAATTCCGCGCAGGGAGCGGGAGGTGAAGAAACGTCCCCGGGTGGGTCTGGCGTTGGGAAAAGTCACTTCAGAGCTCAGGGCTGGGGGGGATGTGGGAGCAAAAGGCTGGGGGAGCAGGCGGTTCACTTACCTGGAGCCCCGGGGGATGCTAAGAGGAGCCCGAGCAGCAGCGCGGGGAGCGGGGCCGGGGGGCTGAGCTGCTGCCCGGCTCGGAGCCGCTGGGACATCTTAGCCCGGCCTGGGGGAGTCAAACTTTTCATCAGCTGGGGCTGGAGAGCAGCACCATCATCTACAGTTAAGAGAGAGGAGCGAGCTGGGACTTCAGGATGTGAGAGATTTCCTGCGCGCACTTCGCTCCAAAAACCCCTCCTCGCATCCGCGGAGTTTGGGCTCCTCTTGCTTAGGGAGGGAGAGGGGGGGGGAAAGAAGTTGTTTGGGGGTTTTGGTGGTTTTTTTCCCCCCTTTTTAAAGACGTTTGGGGCTGGGTTTGGGAAGCTTTTTGGTTTTTTTCTTGGCTGGGGACCGTGGCCGGGCAGCCCGGCCAAGCTCTGGCTCCAGCCCGCGGAACAACCGCGCTCCCATCTGGGGGGACCCCCCCCTCCCATCTGGGGGGACCCCCCTCCCTTTTACCCCGCAGAGCCTTTTTCCTCCCTCCCTCCACCCCCTTCCCAAGGTTTCCCCGTTCCTGCTGCACACGCAGCCCTGGCTGCTTCCTCTGGAAACTCATCTGCATACGTTAGAGCTGGGGGATTATTTATTGGTCTCATAATTAGGTTGGAGCTGTTTCTGGTGCCTCCGACTTATTTTATATTGTGTTTCTTTTACAAGGAAAAAAAAAACAAACCCACACCCCAACCCAACACACCCACGGAGTTGCCAGCTGCATTTTTTAAAATCTTCCTCGTTCAGATGATTATTACTGACTGTCTGGGAGAATAACCAACTGCAGATTATCTATTCCTTAACGTGCCACCAGAGCACACACAAGTGCCCACATGTTGAGCAGAATGAGTAGAAAGAAAAAGATCTTAGTCCTGTAAATCCTCACAGAATATTATTGGGCAGTTTTGGGTTTAATTTATTCAGATTTCTCCCCCCAATCTGTTTGGCCATTGATAATTCTGCAGATTGGCCCCGTGTTCCTGGTGCATGAAATAGTTGGCAAGGCAGGTTTAACATGTGTGTCAGGAGGCAAAAGTGGCCTCAAATGTGTTTGTGTGTCAGGAGGCACAGCAGCCATGCAATCCCATTGGAAACAGGGATTTTTGGAAGCATGGGTTTGGGTCTGTTCTGGAGCAGAACTATTCACAGTGATCCACACACCTTGCCCCAGTTCAGAGGATAAATGAGCTGTCAGAAACAAACTGGGTGCAAAATGCTGCTGTTCCCAAGCTGGAGTCCTGCCCCATGCCCCCTTCATGGGATTGAGAACATCTCTGAACTGCCCCAGGGACAGTCACATCCCCAGGGCAACAGTGGTAATATCCAGTCATCCCAGCACAGTTAGACCTGGAAAAGAGCAGTGAAGCATAAGCAGAAAGGTCTCTTATCAGCTGCTTTTCTTCACAGTTGAAAAAGTACCTTTTCTCCTCTCACCTCTCCACCCAAAACTAGATCCATGGACTCACCTTCAGTCACCCTGAATTTTGGATTCTGGCTTCACTTCTCACCTCAGCAGCACATATTTTCTTCATCCTGCCCCAGGAAGCCTCCACCCTTGCAAGCACTCAGGGCTTATCCAATATAGAGCTCTAAATACCCAAACACTAATTTTTCCCTCCTCACCTAATAACCATCCCATTTGAACAGCTACAGTCAGCAACATTTCATCCCTTAAAATACAAACTAACCAACTCTATTGATTATCTCATTAAACACACATGTGCTCCCCAGAGCACAGTTGGTTAAAAACGTTCTAATTAAAATTCTTTTGTGGAAGGCCACCAGAAAAGCCATGTAGACATTCTTATCCTTTGAAGGTATTTTCTGCATTAAAGAGAAGAGAAAAAAAAAAGAAGTCAAAGGGAAATAAAGACTTCCAAACAGAGTTTTGGTAATCCCACATGGCTTTTCACTTAAAACAGTAGTATTTTTATTTTGAGTAACAATATTCGCTGACAGAGAATGTGGAGCCAATTATATCTTGGTCATTCACCAGCATGAATGAACTAGATATTATCAGAGTGGTTTGCTCCTCCTCCTCCTCCCCCAAAACTCAACCAGAAAGGAGCACTTGGATTTTACCACACTAACTTTCTGGGCTTGAAGTTGATCAGTTGGTGTTTGATCACAGAAGAGGCCCAAATATCTCATTAACAACAGGCATGCAGGAATGTCCTGAGCACTGTTACCTCTGGCTCTGGAGAACAACAGGCTAATTTCACAGCAGCTTGGGAAAAAGCAAGGAAGGAAAAGAGAAGTTAACCTGAAGTGCCCCTCCTTTACTACTCTGTGCATCAGAGAGGCCAGAGCTTGACTTTTCATTTCTCATGTCAAACCACCTCCCACAATTAGTTTTAGAGGCTTGGTTTATCCACTTCAGAGGAACAAGTTTCCCTGCAGGAAATGAAAATTGCATCCAGGTTGTGTGTGGCTGCTTTAAAGAGGGGCCACAGTCCTGATTCTCCAGGTTATTCCTGTGGGCAATGGCTCTCCATCCATCCATCCATCCATCCATCCATCCATCCATCCATCCATCCATCCATCCATCCATCCATCCCAGCATTGTTCTTTAGCACTGTCAGGGAAAAAGGAAGAGGGGCAGGGTTTGTTTGGGTCTGTTTGGGTTTTTTTTGTGTGTGTGGGCTGCCTCTCTGCTTCTATTTTCTTTACCTTTGTATCTTTTGCTACTGCTTCTTTATGCTGTTCCCTCCCTCCATTTTTTGTCCTCCTTATCTTCCTTGCCTTATATATTTAGTTTTTCTTTCCTTCAAGCACTTTCCTTCCCAAAGCAGACACTCCAGTCCATGCTAGTTTAGGGCTACCCTGCAATACCAACAGCATATGAACAGCTAAGAATCTTTTTACATGTCATTTTTATCTCCTTGAGAAAGGGAATCCTAAGGCATTGCCATTTCTTCCTTCTCACTCTCAACTCCACACACACACACATCCTCCACTTCCTCACAAAGTGGATTGGAAACATTTCCCAGGGCTCTTCCAGAGGATACTGAGAACTGGTACCACTTAGAGGATGCTCAGGGATGTGTCCTGCTGTAATAGTCACCTTTTGTCTTTCCAGGAGCAGGGATCCAGCTCCACATCCTTTTCTCTCCAGCTCTCATACCTGCCTCTGCCTTGGGTCATTTGTGTCCCTTCAGGTTGAAGTAGCTTCACTTTCTGTTTGCTTTTACAGATGAAAGCAATTTGATGTAAAGAGCACTCATGTCTTTGAACAGTTAGTGTCTGCTTATCAAATTACTAAGGGATGCAGGAGCTTTAGCTGCCATGGCACTGAAAAGGTCAACTCAGAAGAGAAGCGATGATGAAGAGACCAGTGTGGAGTAACTTACCTGGGAACAAGCATAACATGAGTTAATACACCAGGAGGGAGGGAGATGCACTGAGGGAAACACCAACTTCCATGTTTTCCCTTGGCAAATAATAATAAAAAAAGGAGTTTAGAGAAGGAGTTAGTGGCTGATGGAGACAACATGCAGAGTTTAAAAAAAAGTGGAGAGAACATCCATGAAGTTTACAATATGCAGACTGTGATGCTGGATGCTTTTTTGACATTAGGTGGAAGGCACCTTGGCAAATTATATGGCACTTGTGAGGCAGATTGTGGTGTGAGTATGGAGGGTTGCAGAGAAAAAGAAGAAAAATACAGAAAGGAAAATAGGGAAGGAGAAGGAAGGAAGGAAGGAAGGAAGAAAGGAAGGAAGGAAGGAAGAAAGGAAGGAAGGAAGGAAGAAAGGAAGGAAGGAAGGAAGAAAGGAAGGAAGGAAGGAAGAAAGGAAGGAAGGAAGGAAGAAAGGAAGGAAGGAAGGAAGAAAGGAAGGAAGGAAGGAAGAAAGGAAGGAAGGAAGGAAGAAAGGAAGGAAGGAAGGAAGAAAGGAAGGAAGGAAGGAAGAAAGGAAGGAAGGAAGGAAGAAAGGAAGGAAGGAAGGAAGAAAGGAAGGAAGGAAGGAAGAAAGGAAGGAAGGAAGGAAGAAAGGAAGGAAGGAAGGAAGAAAGGAAGGAAGGAAGGAAGAAAGGAAGGAAGGAAGGAAGAAAGGAAGGAAGGAAGGAAGGAAGGAAAAGAAAGAAAGAAAGAGAAAGAAGAAAGAAAGCTGTGTCTGCTCCCCTGCTCTGCTACACCAGGAATTGCATCCCTGCATTACAGCCTGAGTTACATGAGGATAAACACCACCTCAGATAGCTGAACAAATTCAAGAGAAGATATTCTGGTGGGGAGAAAGCACCTCTGTAACACGGCTCTCACATCTTCCCAGGTCAGCCCTGGCCTCCACGTCTGGATATCCAGGAAACCTCACTGTAATCACAGCATGGAGCAGCATCCAGAAATTCAAGTCCTTTTGTTCCCATATGTGCCAAAACGCATGCAGGCTCGTCTGGGCTTAGCTACAGGGATCTACAGTTTTGGGGCCTCCAGGCTGAAGTTTTTACTTTTTAGAGTAAACAAAACAAAACAAAAAAAGCTTTTCCCTTTGAAATCTGTGTGTCCCCTCCCAGCTGCTGAGACTTTGTGTCTCCAGTCCTCCCTCACTTCATTAACTCGCTGCAAAATCAAGATCCTGCAGCATTGTGACTGCAGTGGCAGATCACAGTCCTCTCTGATTACCAGGCACTGATAGAGCAGAATGCAGCCTGACTTGTAGGCACCCAGCCTTGCTGCAGAGCTCTGCCACAGCAGACATGAACTAAGCAGCCTGCTCCTGGGAGCAGCATCCATCAGCTCCACACACTGAAATCAAATACTGGCTATAAATATTGTTTACTGCTCATACTTAGGACCGGTTACATTCTATAGATTTCCTGGTCTAGGAGGGCAAGTTTCCATCCTCAGGATCTTCAGTGAGCTGCCTGCTGA